ACCCCTCCAATCGGGTTTCTGTGCCGCCCACAGGACAGAAACATCCCTGGTCAAAGTGACAAATAACATTCTGCACATCTGCGACCAGGGCTCCCTCTGCCTCCTCGTCCTCTCTGCTGCTTTCGACACCTTTGACCATTCTATCCTCATCCACCGTCTCTCCTCTCACCTCAACCTCCACGGCGCTGTCCTTGACTGGTTCAGATCATACCTCTCACACCGCCTGCACTTCATCTCCTCAAACAGCTTCTCCTCTAGCCCCCAGACCATCTTGTACGGCGTTCCTCAGGACGCTGTCCTTGGTCCCCTCCGCTTAAATATTTTATATACCAAGCCAGTCAGGAACCTGGGTGTCTTGTTCAACCCTCAACTGTCTTTTCTTCCCCACACCCAAGCCATGACCTGCTCTGCCTTCCCGCACCTCTGTAACATTACCCAACTCCGCCACTACCTCACCCCTCAAGCCGCTGAAACTCTTGTTATGCCTTCATCACCTCCAGGCTCAACTATGCAAAGCCCTGCTTGTCAGCCTTCCCAACTCCTCCCTCCACAGGCTGCGGATAATCCAGAACTCTGCAGCCCATGTCCTCTCCCGCACCAAACTCCGTGACCCCATCTCCCCCATTCTCACCTGACTCCATTGGCTCCCTATCCTTCAGTGGATCCAGTTCAAGATCCTGGTCCTCACATACAAATCCCTCCATGGCCTCGCCCCACCCTACCTCTGCGACCTCCTAACCCCCTACCAACCCGCCCACTCCCTCCACTCAGCCGGCTCCAGGCTGCTCCACGTCCCCCGAACCATCCGCCCCACCATTGGCGGGAGAGTCTTCAGCCACTCTGCCCTCAACCTCTGGAATTCCATCCTCCAATCACTCCGCCTCGCCCTACTCCTTAGCCTCCTTCAAGTCCCGCCTCAAAACCCTCCTCTTCGACCATGACATCGACCCTTCGAGCCTTCCCATCCCCTCCCTTCTCCCTCCCTGACCCCAGCTCAAGTCTGAAATGCTGTACAATGTCCAGTCCTTGGGGTGTTCTCCCGACTTGAAAGGCGCTATACAAATGTAATCTTGTGGCTGTTGTTGTATATGTTCCCTCTCCGACCTACTATCCCCCTACTTACCACCTCTCCGACCTACTATCCCCCTACTTACCTGCCCGTACCCTCCGTTCCTCTGGCTCTGGACTGCTCCACATCCCCCGCCCCAACCGCCCTACCATCGGTGGCCGGGCCTTCAGCCTCTCAGCCCCGAGGCTCTGGAACTCTATCCCCCAGTGCCTTCGCCGCCTCCTCCCTTTCCTCCTTCAAGGCCGGTCTCAAGACCTTTCTCTTCGACCGTGCCTTCACCTCCCCTCTCGACTCTCTACCCCCTCCTCGCTCCCTCCTTTCCCTCCCCTCACCCTGACCATTTCCCCCCTGCTCGAGTCCCGACCCAACTGTCCAGCGCCTTGGGACGTCCTCCCGACGTGAATGGCGCTCTATAAATGCAATCTTGTTGTTGTTGTTGGTGACATCATCCGCAGACATGGGGTCAAGTGACACAAAACTCTACCTCTCTGCCTTCACCCTTGACTCCAGGACCATTGCTGTCCTGTCAGCATGTCTGTCAGACATCAAGTTCTGGATGAGAGATAACTTTCTCCAGTTGAACGTCAAAAAGACTGAGGCTCTCCTGATTGGCTCCCGTCAGCGCCTCCTAATAATAATAATAATCCTTGCATTTGATGTAGTCCTTTTCACGTCTTCTAGACATCTCACAATGTGTCACAGAATAAACTAAAGTATATTTGTGGTCACCTCAGGCGTTGACAGCATCACCATCCATGGTTGCACACTCCACCTTGCTAAACCAGTCTGGAACTTTGGGGTCTTGTTTGACCCTCAACTATCCTTTCTACCCCACATCTGCGCCATGACCCGCTCTGCCTTCCCCCACCTCCACTACGTCGCCCGGCTCCACCACTGTCTCACACCGCAGGCCACTGAAACTCTCGTACACGCATTCATTACAACGAGGCTTGACTATGCAAACTCACTGCTTGTCGGCCTCCCCAACTCCTCCCTCCATAGGCTGCAGATCATCCAGAACTCTGCAGCCCGTGTCCTCTCCCGCACCAGGCTCCACGACCCTATCACCCCATCCTTGCCCAGCTCCACTGGCTTCCCATCACACAGAGGATACAGTTCAAGATCCTGGTCCTCACCTTCAAAGCCCTCCACGGTCTTGCTCCCCCCTACCTATCTGACCTCCTAACCCCCTACCATCCTGTTTGCTTCCTCCGCTCAGCGGGCTCTGGCTTGCTTCACATCCCCCACCTCGTTCGCCCCACTCACTCACGCATTCAAGGCTCAAGGCGTGATTACGCGAACTCCCTCCTCATCGGCCTTCCCAACTCTTCCTTTCACAAGCTGCAGATCATCCAAAACTCTGCAGCTCGTGTCGTCTCATGAACCAGGCTCCATGACCCCACCACTCCCACCCTCGCTCGACTCCACTGGCTCCCCATCCCCCAGAGGATCAAATTCAAGATCCTCGTCCTCACCTTTAATGGCATCCATAGCCTTGCCCCCTCCTACCTCTCTGACCTGTTGACTCACTATCAACCTGTCCGCTCCCTCCGTTCATCAGACTCTGGCCTGCTCCATGTTTCCCACCCGACCTGCCCTACCATCGGTGGCCGGGCTTTCAGCCTCTCTGTCCCACACTCTGGAACTCCATCCCACAGTCCCTCCGCCTCACTTCCTCCCTTGCCTCCTTCAAGGGCAGTCTCAAGACCCTTCTCTTCGATCGTGCCTTTTGTCTCCCTCCCACATCTCTACCTTCCCTCACCCCTACACCACCCCTCCCCCATGCTCGGGCCCCAATATCTGACTGTTCAGGCCTTTGGGACGTCCTCCCGACTTGAAAGGCGCTCTATAAATGTAATTTTGTTGTTGTTGTATTGGCGGGCAGGCCTTCTGCCACTCTGCCTCCACCCTCTGGAACTCCATCCCGCAGTCCCTCGGTCTCGTTCCCTCCCTTGCCACCTTCAAGACGCATCTCAAGACCCTCCTCTTCGACCGTACTTTCGATCTCCTTGCTTCCCCTCCTGCCCTCCACCCTCCCCGACTCCGACCCCCAGCTCGGGTCTGTAACTCTGTCTGTCCAGCACCTTGGGACGTCCTCCTGATGTGAAAAGCGCTTTACAAATGTAATTTTGTAGTTTGTTGTTGATGTTGTGACTCTGGTCATTCTTCACATAGCAATGACACCAAACAGCAATTAAGTGAATGACCGATTTTAACTCGAGGATTGTCGATCAGGACACCTGATAAAAAATCACTTTTTTTTCAAATAGTGCCATAGGAACAGGCAGACAGGACCATTTGAAGAAAATCACCCCCCAACCCTACATCTGTTTCAGATCAATAAGGTAACAGTGCAGATTAGTAATACATCTGGGAATTTCTTAATCTGCATAATGCAGTGCCTTCACTAACCAAATCATTGAAGTGACTGGTTCATTGGTTTGAAATGGTTTATTGGTCTATAATGGATTAGGCAGAAATCCAGAAAAAGGTTCAAGATCAAAGCAGCACTGCTTTGCTGAGGGCGGGGGAGGCAGGGGGGTTGTGGAGGGGGGGGGGGGGGATACTTTTATTTGGGTGAGAATGCTTCATTTTTGTTACATCACATGAAAACATTGGCGTTTTGGTTTGTGCCAATACTTTTGTTTTAAAAATGTTTGCAAGTACATTTTTTGAAAAGATTCCAGGTTTGAATGTTACCGTATTTGTGCAGCTACCATTTGTGTCCTGGAGGTGGTGCCAGGTTTCTCTTAGACTTCGCTATTCCTCCATTTGCTGATGGGTTCTAACCCTAACCCAAGGACTTCCTTGACGCAAAAAAATAGTTACTGGCATTAAGCACAACTTTTCAAAACATTGCGTTTTTCAGTATGTAAATAAATAATAAATAATCCTTGCATTTCATGTAGCAATTTGGGGGGAGGGGGAGGAGGATGTCTCAAAGAACATCACTTTAAAGTGAATCCACACCTCGGGCGCTGACAGCATCACCATCCATGGTTGCACACTCCACCTTACTAAGCCAGTCCGCAACCTTGGGGTCTTATTTGACCCTCAACTATCCTTTCTACCACATATCTGTGCCATGACCCGCTCTGCCTTCCTCCGGTTCTGCCACTGTCTCACACCACAGGCCACCGAAACCCTCACACACGCTTTCATTACATCAAAGTTCGACTCTGCAAACTCTCTGCCTGTCGGCCTCCCCAACTCCTCCCTCCATAGGCTGCAGATCACCCCGAACTCTGCAGCCCGTGTCCTCTCCCGCACCAGGCTCCGCGACCCCATCACCCCCATCCTCACCCGACTCCACTGGCTTCCCATCACACAGAGGATACAGTTCAAGATCCTGGTCCTCCCTTCAAAGCCCTCCATGGCCTTGCTCACCCCAACCTCTCTGACCTCCTAACCCCCACCATCCTGCTCACTCCCTCCGCTCAGCGGGCTCCGCCTTGCTTCGTGTCCCCCACCTCGCTCGCCCCACTATTGGCGTGTGGGCCTTCCGCCACTCTGCCCCCACCCTCTGCAATTCCATCCCCCGGTCCTTCCGTCTCGCCCACTCCCGCGCCACCTTCAAGACCCTCCTCTTCAACCGTGCCTTCCATCGCCCTCCTTCCCCCCTCCCCCCACTGCCCCCAATGCCCTCCGCCCTCCCCGATCCCGACCCCCGGCTCGGGTCCGAATCCCTGCGTGTCCGGCGCCTCGGGGTGGGGTGTGGGGTGAGGTGGGGGGGTGGGGATGGGGGGGGGGGGGGGCGCCCTCCCGCCGCGAAAGGCGCCGCCGCCGCACAAATGTCATATTTTGCTGAAGTCGTTGTTGTTGTTGTTGTTGCTGTTGAGGACGAACCAGGACCGTGAGAGGGGTTTTGAACGTCGGGGGTACCCCCCCCCCCCCCCCACTCTGTGTTGGGGACCTCCTGCCGGTGGGAGGC